CACTGGGTCCCAAAGCGCCCGCGGGCGCCCGGCCGCTGAGCGCGCGCCCTTTCGGATGCAAACGCCCGCGTCGCGGGCGCCGGACGCCGCCGGGAAGGCAGCGAGGCCCCAGGTGAGTGTGCGTGCCTGCTGGGGGCTGGGGACCAAGGCGCCGCTAGGCAGGAGCGCGCCCTCGCCGAGCGCATAGGGAAGCAGGACTCTTCAGTGAGCGGAAAGCGGGCGGGGGGATCCGTGTGGAGTTTCCCTTGGCGTCCCCAAGTTACTGCTGTGTGGCCGTGCGACGTTGCTCTGCGAGGCAGGACAGGCGTGCGGACCGAGCTGAGGGCGCTCGGCCCGGAAAGCGGGTGCTCACAGACCCCAAGTGCGATGCGATTTCAGGGCGAGAGCATATCCAGCACTCTCCAGTTGAAGCGGTAAACACAGTCTGGACCGCTCGCCTCCAAGAGGAACACGAGGGGGCCCCCCGTTGACCTCGGATGGATGGGGGCAAAACTCCGCGCTGGCTGGGCCGCCGGGTTCTGCAGCGGGCTGAGACTGGAAGGGGGTGTGTGCCTGCGTGTGCGCGAGTCCTTTTAACCATCCGCGCTAGACTCTTTTTACCTTTCGTGAAGGTGGGACTCATCTAAGGGTGCCTCGCTTTTTCCGGTAATTAGTATTCTGCTGCTACGGTGCATCTGCAGAGCTTGCCTCTGCCCAGCGTCGTGCTTCCCCTCCGCCCGGCTGTACCTTAGGTGAGCGCTGGCAAAAGGGCACCCTGCTCTGCATGGACTTCGTGGGTGCACCTGGTACATGGCTAGTTGCTGGTATTCAACCTCCCAGCGTGGATTAATGAGAAAGGACCTATTGTCTGTATTGGCTTCACGTTTTAGATCGTTAACCTTACGGATTTCTTAGATATAGTTCGGGTGAGTAAAGATTGGCAATGCGTTGACCCAGCAGTGGGCAAAGGGTCCCTTGTAAAGAAACCATCAAGGATTGGGTGCCTCAAGGTTTTGGAAATATGCAAATTGAATCTTGAATATGCTTAAGACTCCTTTTATTTTGCAAGAAATATCTTCTCTTTATTAGATAATTTATTAAGTGAAATATCTTTAAGTAGGACTCGCACTTAATAATTCCTGTAACCAGTCAGGTGTTCAGATCATTTTTAATACAGAAGTAGATAAACAGAACTTTATGGGGGAAAAAATAGAAAAAATGTAAGTAACATGTGAATATATGGCTCCTGCTAAGTGACAAAGTATGCATTTTATAAATCAGGTTAACAGCACAAAAACATATATTTTAAAGGAGTTTAGGGGCAGTAACAGCCTTTTTTTAAAAGAAAGTTTGCATCGATACACTGCCAGCAACATCTAAATAGTTCTAAGTGTGTTTTAATAAAGACAAATTGATAGAGGATAAAAAGGGCTAAGGAAGAAAGTAGTTACATTGGAAGCTTTCAGTAACTCACCCAAAATTACTTCTTTCCCAAAGAACTACTTAGACTATGTTTATTCAAGCTCTTTTCTTGTTACTATATGTAAAGAGGAAATACATTAAGAATCCTTTTCTTCATTTTGGGGGCTATTTGCAACAGTATGAATTAAAATGCAAGGGAATTGAGGCAGATAGTCAAGCTGGCAACTTTGTAGAAATCTTGCTTATATGTTAGTGTTTAATATGGAGTGGAACGGAGTGGCAGAAGCAGTTAGGTAGCATCCGACCTTAATAGTCTTATCTGGTAAAGCTAGCTGAATGTCTGTCTGTGGAAAGAAAAAGAAAGAAAACAATGATCAGTAGTACAGACCAGCACCCTGCTAAAAGATGTTAAGGTTTGCAGCTTTAATAAAAGGGCAATGTGCACTTACAACGTGAGATATTATTGTAATTAAGGGCTGCAATAGGTCATTAGAATTGTGTTAACAATCAGCTGACAGACTCACAACTCTTAAGTCTGCTTTTATTGATTTAACAGCACAGAGCTTTTCCCTTTCTTATAAAAGGGTAATTGTAAAGCTTCTATATTACGGCAGTTTACCGTTGAATTGACTCTAGTTTTTAGTGTCCAATGAAGAAGAGAGGGTGGGGAGCATACTGAGCTGGCCACTGTTCTGCCTTTCTAGACCTAAAAATCAACCCCTTGTGTCTCCTCAGGCGTGATTTCTCTGCTGGTCTATCATTCAGCATTTTAGGTTTTTTTTTTTTTTTTTTTTTATAATAAAGCTGATATAAACATCTCGGAATGTATACTGATAAGAGGAAGTGAATACATCTTTGTGTCGAGTCAAATACTTGCTTTGTCAAATCTTTTAGAAATCTTTGTAAAGTACTGAACCCATAAATTGTTCAGTGTTGTGAATATTTATGCCTGAGTGATTCCAACCTTCCTTGATTTTTTTTTTTAAGGTTTTGCATTTATTGCATTAGCAAGTTATATCACATCATGGTTCTCTCACACACACACAAATGTTTTTGACTTGCTTAGAAGGCTTCAAAGCCTTCGATTAATTTGGGAGTTTCAGAAACTTCTAAAATAACTCACACACATTAGTTGATTGTAAAGAGACTGTGATGGAAGCTTTTCTCTGTAGCATGAAGGAATCAGTTTCTTCTAAATGGGTGATAAAGGGGAGCTGAGGACAAGGAAAGAAGACATGTGATCAGAGTCCTGCCTGTGACCATCTCCTCAGCCTCTGACAAGCAGAGCAGATCTAGCTGTAACCAGCAATACTCGAGTGCCTCCTCTGGGAATTTGCTGGTTCTGCAGAAAGATACCCCTGCAAACATTTCCCCCTTGTTGTTCTGCAAGACTCCTCACTGACAAAATTATCAGTGCAAAGGAATATGCAGACATCTGTCCATACATTCAGTTCAGGTTATCCCATAGATTTTCATTCTGGTAGAATTTCTCTTTGGCCGCTTTGCAAAGTGTTTATTGAAACATGATGCCTTTTATTGAAGTCACATAAATCATACCTGGCTCAATATAAATGCAAAGATAAATTAAAAACTAAAATTGATACAGCTGAGATATGTTGTAAAAGTATAAGAGAAAGAGCCCTTTAAATATAATTTTACCATTTTGATATTATGTAAGTAGCCCAGAAGGACTGTGCTCTGTCACTTTGTTTTCTTTTTAATTTACGTAGGTGGCTTCTAGTTAGTTATAAATTATTATTCTTGTTTCCTTTTCATTCCCTTCACCCATGACAGAGGTTATTGGTGCTTCATTGAAATTGACTCTGTAATCCACTTAGAGAAGTTTTCATTCCTTCTCTGATAACCAGATGCACACTACAGGCTGCGTGATTCATTTCCAGGGCCCCTGCCTGAATATTTAGGCCAGTTAGCGGAAGGAGGTTGTGGTCTGTGGTTGTCATGTTATTTAGCCCAGGGAGCTGATGGATTTGATCACAGTTTCTTTACGTGAGAAGTTACATATCACAGAGGGTCCCCAGACTCACTAATTAAAAAGTAAAAAATTATACATTTTAAGTGCAAAAGAAGAGGGTCATTTCATCAGTATTAAAATTATTGAAGTCAATGCTAAACTTTAAGTGATATACAGATGAAACAAATGAAATGATAGCATATTCCTCTAATTGAAGCTGGCAATATATATTTTTTTTTTTAAAGGAAGGGAAGAGCCAGTGAAAGACTCAGTCTGCTCTTATTTTTTTATTTTATTTTATTTATTTATTTTTTCCCCCAAAGCCCCAGCAGATAGTTGTAGGTCATACCTACACATCCTTCTAGTTGCTGTATGTGGGACGTGGCCTCAGCATGGCCGGAGATGCGGTGCGTCGGTGAGCGCCCGGGATCCAACCCAGGCCGCCAGTAGCGGAGCGCGTGCACTTAACTGCTAAGCCACAGGCCGGCCCTGAAGCTGGCAATATTAAATCTACAATGATTATAAAGGGTACATGAGGAACAGACAGTCATCGCAAAATATAGGATTTGTAACAAGAACCAATAATCATACATATACATTCTTATATCCTGAGAAGTTTTCCTGAGTTGGTACCCTATTTCTAAAACATTCAATGGGCTATTGTTTAAATTCAGCGGAAATAGTTAACAACGATGGTGTTACAGTGCAGTAGGAAGTCATTTCTTGATCACCAGGGTTGTTTAGAAGGGAGAAGGCAATTTTAAAGTTGGATACTGCTCACTCTCCGTTTTTTGTATCACGGAAACATACACAGATCCTTTCACTCTGTTATTCTTACTCTTCACTCCTGACTCTTCTGAGTGGAAATTCTGATGATCTCCTACTTTAAAAATTCAAACTCATGGTCATATAAAAATTTGAGTCAGATTAAATCTACTTTTCTTAGCTTTTGGAGAAGATGATAAAATCCAAAGATAATAAATTAAAAAGATCTTCATTATCAGAATGAGAAATATTTACCAAACACTTTAAATGTTCTGTTAAATCCAATCATACCCAGTCCCATCAGTAGCTAGCTGTGTGACCTTGGGCATTTCACTAGGATTATGTAGATTTGGTTGTTCTTAAGAAAGAAGAGACTGCCTTCAATTTTTCTAATGTCTGTTTCAGTTCTGTGGTTCCACCAGTTGAGGAATCTTCAAACATTAGGAGCAGCAGGTTTGGGGACTTCTTTATGTTCTTTCTTCTAACAGGAAACCTTAGGAGATCCAAGTAATTGCCTTCTTCAGCACTGAAGTGACTTTCCTCTCTATCTATCCCATAGACATTATCCTTAAAAGCTCTGCTGGTATATGGTAGTTGGAAATAAAATGTGGCCACAGCTCTTGAAATTCTCCTTGTCCTGGATTACTTTTTCTCTTTTGTGGTGTCATGCCATCTGCTCATTCATGAGCGGGAGGTTACAACATATCTTTTCCCCCTTTTGCATTCCTCACAATATATTAAGTGGATCTCCTTTAAAATAAGTAAAAGTAACAATGAACAAGCATTATCCTTTTTACAAAGCAGACTACTCTAACTTTGTGTACAGAGATAAATCACAGGACCTCAGTGGTGACAGGTGGCTGCTGTTCTGGGGAAAGCAAGGGCAAGTAAGGTCTTTAAAGAAGACATTGGATGACTCAGGAGGCAGTCTCTTCATTGAATTTAAATAATGCCATTAAATACCCAAGGAATAT